GTGTCAGCACTTCCCGGGAACGCAGGCGGAGAAGAAGATCCAGGCACCGGGACCCTCATCGGCGTCGGTCACGCAGCCGCAGTCGCCAGGCGTCCTCTTGGCCGCCCTGCCAACACTGGTTCCACGTCTAACCATCGCACTTTCATGCCAAAGCCCCCACCAGCAGTCAAGGCCATGCCGGCGTGCCGACCATCTGGTCTTTCATATGACCGTTGACGGACTACCAGCGGCAAAAGGTCCTCAGCACACCGATGTACACCAGTCTTGCTAACATGAGTTTTATGCTGTCCCGCAGCCTTTCTTGCTTGGATTGTCCTTGCAGTGATTTCACTTGCCATGCAGTTGTCAGTGGAGTTCGTGAACAACCTGGTGGCGGTACTCAATGTCCTCGCATCACAAGTAGCGACTGCCCTGGACACCCTGAACTTTGCCCTGGCGACCGAGCGAAACCAGCAGTCCGACACCCGAGTGTCCCCCAGGGCCCCACGGAATTCCAGGCATGGACTGCGCCCTCACATCATCACGGAGCGCATCTCGTCCGACCGATCTCGCACTCCTACTTGAATCCGAACCCGGCCTGTGGATACTTCCTCCACCTGGTATATACCGGCCCTATCCCCGCCTCGTGCGGCACATCGGGATGCCACTGACAGCACTTCTGATCGCCGTCCGGAGACAATGTTGGATCGGTTACCACCGCCAAGACCTCTTGCTCCCCTTCCCCCTCGCAGCGGTCGTGAACCAGGACAGACATCGCCTACCACACCTGATTCGGATTCGGATGGTTCAGTTCGTCCACATCCAGGTGCTTCATCGTTCCGTCCATCTCCCACGGTGGTTCATGGACCTCGGGAACTTCTACAAGAATTCACTATTGCCCTTCGCAATGCACATCTTGAACCGTTCACGGCGTGGACACAGGGTGAGCTGGATGAGATGGTCAGACGGAAAAAGGACAAGGATTCCAGGCCCACCTACAAAACCATTGCCCATTTCCTTCAGAAGCCCACAGAGGAAGTCAAGCAAGCCTGGAAGGTCTACCAGCAGCTTGAGGCTCGCGCTTAGGGCACTGTGCATCGAAAGAACGAACGACTACCGGAGGGTGGCAGTGCATTCCGTGAGCGTTGCAAGTTGTCGAGATGGTTTGAATTGCAGACATGGTAGATCGCATGGTTCTTTTCTCGCTTGCTTGCGTGACATGGCTGGCATACTTTGCAGTAAAGACTTGAAGGACATTCATGACATTTCTGACAGTGAGAGCATTGTTGGTTGTCATGGAAGTTGTTGATGACTTGGATTTCATGCATGGCAGAGCTGCTCAAATCATGTTGGAGCAAGATGTGCAGACATACATCACTTGGACCCATGGAGCGCAGCCGACGTGGTTACAGTTTCACGGGCCTGGTACATTGCTTGACAGACCAGTTCGATGGACTGCTTCACCTCCAACCCCGCCACGGTTTCCATTACTTCTTCCACCTCCACCTCCTCCACCGCCACCACCACCGGTGATTCTACACCCACAGTTTATGCCCTCATTGCGTGCCTCCTCGGGCCCCTCTCCCCGAGGACAGTCATGCCCGGCCACCGTGAAATCGCAGCGCGCACGCCGCTCGATACGCAGCGCTGACCAGTTCCGTGATGATGATCTACGCAGTCTCTCGCGTTCTCCGAAACGCTCTCGAACAACATCCGCTTCTGCCAGGCGGAAATTTCGGCGACCCTTCACCGTGTTCCCTTCAAAACGAGCCACCCGTCCATCACTGTCTTCATCGACAAGTTGCAAGCATTATTGTCATGCTTTTCTACATCATGGACGGAAGTGTCTTTCTCCCTGTGCTCGTCGCCGACCAGGACATTACCATTGCAGGTGTGTGCGGCATCAGCGGCGGTGAAGCATAGTTGTCGTATACTATCGACCTTGTGGATTCGTGCCGCCTTCAGTTTGAAAAGTTGCCTTGCATTGCGTTGCACAACACATTCCCATTGCGTCAAGGTTGTCATGGCATGAGTGTTTCGCCGCAGATCTCGTGGCTTTGCGATTTCTTTCAATGGCCCTGTGACGACCCATTTTGCCGTCATGTACCCGCACTATTTTGAGTACCACATCGAGAGAGTACGCTTCCACGTATCGGGAGTGGCGCAAGTCATATCACTTTGACGTGTACTTGCCCACAGCACCGGGGGAACAGCTGCGGACCCCAATGTCATGCCCGTATCGCATGTGTCATACCACATGTGGGAGTACCGAGACTGGAACACACGAGGTTATCAACGCCTTGGCATTCCACTACCAGCCATTGGAGCGGCGGAGCTCGTGAATGAAGAAGTTACTTCCTCGTCGGAGTCTTCAGTTCCGGATGGGGCGTGGCGGGAACCTTCTCCCCCACCATTCTATGATCCTTGGAACGAATCGGATTGATGATTGAGCAACATGTCGGTTAAAACGATGCGATTGTGCCTGATTTGATTGCTGCATGAACTTGGGTTGTCTTGACTTGTGTTGTGCTTTACTTCTCCATGTTTTCGCCGCTCCCTTTTGCCTCAAAGCGGCTTCTCTGGTTGGTATGTTCAATTCTACAATATGTGGCACTGCAAGATGGACCCTACCACGCTACTTTGAGTACGACATCGTCAATGGCCCTGCGAGCACAAGCGTTGAATGGATTCGGGTCTATGTACCTGGTCCGTGGCAACCAGTCGCCGAATCCACCTTGGGACCGGCCCCGGATGACACAACCACCTATCGGGAATGGCGCAAATTCTACCACTTCGACGTGTTTTGGCCTAGTGACAGCACGGGAGGCACCAATATGGGCTCTGTTTCCCAGCCGGTCTCATATGCATCCTTTTACACATGGCAGTATCGTGACTGGGTCACCAGAGGATATCAACGGCTCGGCCATCCGCGCCCCAACATTGCACGTCCAGTTTTCGCTTCGGGATCACCAGACCTCATGTACGCTGGACTGTCCTCTTCGTCGGCATCCTCGAACTCGGATGGTGGCTGATGTTCGTCCTCGTCTTTCCAGGATATTCAATTTGATTGGGGCGAATGACTTCGACAACTGAGCCGCGCCGTGCTACAAAAGTGTTTGCTTGCATGTTTGCTGTTGTGTCACATGTAGTGCTTGTAGTCTGCAGCCGTACACCTCTCGATTTGTCATCAAGGGAGCCTCAACAGCCAGATGCCCAGTGGGTCAAGATTTTTCACCCGGGATCATGGACTCCACAGGACGAACGTGATGATCCGCCTCCGCCTCATACATACAGAGAGTGGAAGGAGTTCTATGTCCCAAATCCTGATCAAGAAGGCGCGCAGAGCGTTTGGTACAAAAGGGACTGGGCCACAGAGGGCTACCGGCGTGTCGCTGCCCCTCAAGCTGGTCACGACTTCGATTCGCTGTCTTTTCCTGATCAACATAGCGTGGCCACGCAATCATCGGCTTTGTGGGTGTCACCGCAAATGTTGAATGCGATTCTTAGATCATCGGCTGCGGCGGCTTTCTCCACTGAGGATCTCACTCGTCTTCAAGATGGTATCTCTCAACAACTGTCGGACCGCGCGCGTCATGCATCCCAACAACACCAACCAGTACGTGCATCTCGTGGAGTTGCACCACCGGAGTCCATTGGGGTCTCTGATCCATATCTGCCTACGACCCAACCATGCAGCTCCACCGCCAAGGAGAAGCCTATCTTCGAGCTAAATGATGAATAGACTGATGCGTGTTGTGCATGGCACAAAAGGGTGCTTTCTCATGCTCGTGCTTTCTTGTGCGGTTGCTGATTGTGCATGGTTGTACATGGTGACTGTTTCTTTGCTAGCTGGATCGGAACCCGCGGTACGCCCTGTCTCTCACTTCGGCATGGACATCGAGGATGCAAAGCAGTACCCATGGCTCGAATATTCGGTCTGGCAGGATCAGGAGTGGGTGCGGATCTATACTCCGGGACAACCTCAGCTGTGGCAACCAGAAGAAACCTACCAGACAACTCGTTTCGGGAGTGGAAGCGGGTAACTGATCCCATTGGTGGGACTGGTGAACACAGTCAGGCGTGGACAATTCGCGACTGGCAGCACCAAGGATACCAACGCATTCTTTCTCGCTTTGAGTCCTTCTCCACACATCAAGCCCATGATCAATCACTTGTTGACGTGCAGAATTCGGACACAATCCGAGTCGAGGAAATGTTCACCTATGCCCCCCCTATTTCTGACGGTGATCGCTCGACTGCTTTGCAACTCCCTCCAGTCTTCTATGGCGACACCCGTAATGCTCATCGTGGTGATCTTTCGTTCCCGTCTTCTGATCGGCTTAGGGCAGTTTCGCGTTCCCCTCGCCGCGGTGGATATTTTGGCAAACGATAGAGATACGAAGTTGAGCATGTGATCTTCCTGCTGAAAAAGAGACTTCTCGCCCCTCACTGAGGGGCGTGTGTGTGCGGAGTGGCAGAATACCCTGTCACCAACATCAGGTTTTCACTTTTACCACAGGGGGACCATCCATTTGCTGTGTGCGATGGTCCAACGAAGCGGCCACAGCAAATGCGGATATCGAGGCTGATCACCTCGACGTACCTGTGCATCTCGTGTGATTCAAAGTCTTTTTGGCCCGTTGTTTCTCTCGCTGTGTGTGCTTCATGTTGAATTTGTAACGTTTTCGCTGCTAGACGGAAGCCAAGTGACTGTGAGCCGAAACTTATTCATGAAGAACCTTATCCAAGCCGAGATTGACCAGTTGTACTCGAAAGGATTAGCACCCTCCATCTGGAGTTTAAGTGTGTGTGTTTTTGCGTGTGTCTCTCTCTCTCTCTCTCTCTCTCTCTCTCTCTCTCTCTCTCTCTCCCTCTCTCTCTTTCAGGGTACCTTTTCGTAGTAGTTTTCCAAAAAGAAGTACACCTCGATCTGTTGTCCCAAATAGCTCTGGCAAAGGCTTACCCCAAGAGGACGTCATGGTTCGCGCTTTTTTTCTTCCCCTTGTTCTTTCTTTCGCCAGGAGGTGTCGCCCTGTGGGGAGAAGGTGACGGCCTGGAAGATCAGTTCCAAGCCCAGCGACCCAGCGCGGGGCCCAGTGGCGCGGCAGGGCCCAGAGGGCCTCAAGATGAGGGCCCAGCTTCAGCTTCCCCAAAGAGCCCAGAAGAAATTCCTGGCAAGATGACCATGGCTCACTTTTTCTTATGTTGTGTTTGTTTGTTTGTTTGTTTGTTTTTTCTTCTAATGGTCACCCCATGTTTTACGGAGCTTTTGATCAACCTTTACTTGAAGAAATCCTCAGGGTGTTTTCTTGTTGCCGCGATATGGGTAGGGAATGACGACGAGTGTTGGCTGAGTGATCCGGGTTGGGATTCCCGAATAAGGGAAGCCACATCGGTTGGATGGTTTTTCTTGGGGTCATTCCAACTCATTCCCTGCTGACAAGTTTGGTCTCCGGGATTTGGACTTTCGACCTTTTCGCGGAGAGCCATGGGCGTTTTGGAGGGAAGCGAGAGGCCCCACATGGAAGGAATCATCCATGACTGGTTGGTTTTTCGGATCGGAGCCGCACCAAAATGTTGAAGAAGGGGGCAAGGGGGGATGGGCTGTGCACACCTTCTGGACAACAGCTCCCCGCCAACTTCCGCTGGACAATGTGTGACCTGGAGCCAATCTTTGCAAAGAACGCCCCCCCCAACCCGCTGCCCACCTTCTCTTCGTCTGGGGTACAAGGCTTGCAAAACACTTTTTGCTTCTCTTGATTCTTTCCACTCTCCGGCTTTTTTGTTAATGTTGAAACGCATGTGGAAACATGAACTGTGTGTGGAATGCTTGACCACAATGGCATGTGCCATTTTGGCTCAAGCATTGTTCTGGGTTCCTGGAACCCAAGCTGATTGAAAAACTTTGATCTTTTGCATTTTCGAACTTAACCCCGACCAAGCAATGGCTTCCTCGGCAACCTCGGCAACTTCCTTTGAGTTGATTGAGGACCAGACAGTCACCGTGGAGGAGGTTGAAGTGGCCAGCCAGGAGGCCCAGGACATTCGCACACGGGAGGCGGCAGTGGCGGCCGGCTTGGTTTTGGACGAGCCCGAGGCCCCCCCGTCAGCTTCGGCGACCGATGTGATGAAGGACCTCGCCAGTGCACTGGAGCGTCTCCGAGTGGCATTTGCCACACCGACTCCCGGCTTGGTGCCCCTGGCCCCGCCGAGGAGGGCGACAAGGACATGGGGGATGCGGACGGCACGGAGCGGGCCACACCACCGGAGGAGGCGCAGACGCCACCCACGAAGAGACTGAAGGGCTTCGTGGCGGCTTCTCAGAAGGCTGCGTCTCAGGCCAACAAACCTGTCACCTTGGTGCCGGTGGACGGAAAACCCGGGTACTTCAGGCTGGTGGGGCCACCCTGCTGAGAGACATCAGGGTGGAGGAGGCGGTCTCCCTGTTTCACAAGTTTGTTGGGAAGAACCTCACGGAGGACCTGGTGATCCGCATCTTGGAGGCGTACGTCCCGATGAAGATCCAGCTCCGCCAGGAGGAGGTCTGGGCTTCGCAGTTCCAGAGGCAGGCCATGTGCAAGGCATGCGGAACGGGGTGGCCAGAGGCAGCCAAGCAGTGCTGGGTCTGCCCCGGCAAGGAGTTCGCCCCCTTCCAGGCACCCTCGGCCACCTATGAGGCGGACGGCATCACCTACAACCTGCTCATCTTGGAGGGCAACCCGGAGAAGTCGGGGCTGGCGGCAATCCACTCGGTGGCGAAGGAGGCGATCCTGAAGGGAGGGAGCCGCTAGGTTTTGTCTCACAACCCTGTCGGATGTGGGAGTCGTGTGATTTCTTCCTGGTGCCTTTGGCCCCGTCTCCGCAAAAGGAGGGGGAAAGGGTTTTCCTTATTGGGTTCGGTTTTCACCACTGTTTCCTCTCTTATTCCATTCTGGTGGCGCGCGTGGGTTCTTCTGGTTGCATGGCAGTGGAGCCACGTCACGGCAGCTTGATCTCCTCGACCATGAGGCCACATGCATTAGCTGCCCCAAGGACGGGCCATCTCAGCCACGGTTCGGAAAAAAGTGGCTGCGGCCGACTCATGGTTTCCTTGAGGTCCCCTTGAGGTTTTGGGGAATCCCCCACCTGGTCGGTCTCCCCCTCCGTGCTTTTGGGTGGTTTCTGGGGGGTTGATTTTGGGTCGCGCTCCCCCCTCTCCCTGTTAAAATCTCGGGACTTTGGGGGGGACGTGTCGGGATGCGTGTGGCCTGCCTGCTCCTTCTGCACTCTGCATTCTGCAAGGTTGGAGCATGCATGCATTGTGCCGCGGTTGGGTCCCGGCGGTTCGATAGGAGGCTCAAAACCCCCTTTTTCCTCATGGCTAGGGTATCTACCAAGTTTCTTATGCGCCCGCCCTACACACGTCTTTGGGACCGCATTCCAAGGGTCCTATGGGACACGTTGGCGGATGAGTCCTTCTCCCCGAGACAGACGGACGGGGAGCTGTTGGTCCTGATGTGCCTGCGCCAAGGCACTGAGGAGGAGGGGAGGAAGCTGGGCGGAGAGCCGGCAATCCGCTTCTCTCAGCTCCTGGAACTCTCGGGCATTCCGGTAGGACAAGACGACCGCATGGTCCCGACGGACTACTTCAACGGCCTGGTGGCGTCGGCGGCAGGCAGGCTTCCCCAGCCTCTGTCCGCGGCGGACCTGGCCGACCTGTGGGACAGCCTATGGTTCCTCCTCCTGGCGACGGCGGATGGCAAGCCGAGCGAGGACTCCCCGCTGGAGAATGAATGGGACCGCCAGGACCAATTGAGGTGGTTCTCACGAGATGACCCACCCCCACTCCAACAACCGGAGCTTCTGAAGTGGAGGCACTGGCGCCCGGGCAAAATAAGGGAAATGGAGCCCACGACCCAGCGAGCGCTGGAACTCCATATGCGCGGGAAATGGGCGGAACGGCTCCTCGCCCACTTTGCCCCGTTTGCGGAGCACATCGCGCACATGCAGGACATCCTGGGGGAGGACTTCCGCAAGGAGGCATTGGACCTCCTGGGGGACAATAGGTTCCGGACACTCAGGCAACATTGCCTGGTCTACGAGAGTCTCCGGAAGAGAGGCTTCACGGTGATTCCCTGGCAGGAACGACATGTCCGCTCTCTCCTCAACCAGCTCGCCGAAGAGGAGGTCACCCCGTACAAGCTACGGCAGGTGTGGAACACCCTCAAATGGTATTCCAAGACCTTCGGTATGCTGAAGATAGACGAGCTCCATCGCCTCAAGTCCAAGAAGAGCTCGTTGGAAGAGGCACTCACGGACACGGTCACGGGTGCCACCGGCCCCGGTACGCAGGCGGGGCTGGGGAGGAGCAGACACAAGGTACTGGACGCATTCATCCTGGGTTTCGCCCGGTTCCAAGTAGGGTGCAGCGCTCGTTTCAATGACCTCCAGCATGTTCACCCCAAGGACCTTATCCACACCAGTAACACCGTGGAGCTGAAGGCCTGGCAGACCAAGACGGTCTCAGCAGCACGAATCAACCGCAACCCGGTCCCCTTGATTGCTCCGAAGTACAGCTTCACGGGGATCCCCTGGTGGACTACCTGGGTGGCCACGGTCCGGCGACTGGTGTCCGAGGAGGCATTCCAGGACATGGACTACTTGCTCCCGACAGTGAGCAAAGACTTCGCAGGGCTGACCCCGAGACCTTCCACACCAGAAAGGGCTCTGAGATGGCTCAAGGATGCTCTTCTCCGTCGGGGAGTGACCCCGGGGTTGGTGAAGCCGCTGACGTGGCACTCATTCCGAGTGTTCATCCCGGACTGCGCTTTCCAGATGGGGATCCCCCGGGAGCTCCGCATGTACTTAGGCAACTGGCTCACAGGCAGACGTCTATGTGCGGGAGAAGCGCAATGTCGTTGTGGAGATTTGGGGCCAGGTAGCGCAGAAGGTCCCCAACCTGAACCTCGGGCCAGGCAGGGAACGCAGGGAGGACTTGAACCACCCGGACTGGGCGGACCCGCTCCCGCCGCCAGCAGTGGAAATCACGGACGCGGGACCGGACGGCCACAAGGACCAAACCGAAGGGGAAGGGGAGGCGCCCCCCACGGTACCCTCAGGGAGCGCACATGGTCATTGGTGGAACAGGGACCCGAGGACACACCAGTGAAGGCCAAGGACCTGTTTCCCACCACCCCGGACTTCCCCTTCGTGTTGTTGCGGCGGTCAAACGCACAGGCAACGCCGGCCAGGCCAGAATCCACCTGCTGAATGACGAAGGCACGGCTGTGGGGTGCGGGTGGCGACCGGCGGCCTCCAAGATCCAGGAGCTCTCCGTGCTGGACTACATGTCGGAGCCAGAGGCCTATGGCAAGTGCGAACGTTGCTTCAAGAGGTATGGCTTCCCGGCGGACTGGGTACTGGAGCCTGCGGAGGTCCCCACACTGCAGGAGGACTCGGACTCCTCGGCGGACTCGGGCTCTGAAACGGATGACTCGGTGGACACCCAGTCGGAGACCGAGGTGGTGGCCCTACCTTTGGAAGCCTAGGTGCCCCCGGCCCTGACGACCTAAGGGGGAGGCCAAGGACAGGGCTCTGGCCAGGGCCCTCAGCACAGACTGGCATCCTTCGGAAATGGCGGGTGTGCCAGACTGTCCTTCGGAAATGGCGCTATCAGTCTGCACACCCGTTCTTCAGTTTTTGAGAGTTTGTGGTGGGTGGCCCATGGGGCCCACCCAGCCGTAGACATCTGACAGGGGAAGATGAGTCCCTGGCACCAACACATTGCTTGGATAAAAGAGTTATCGCTTGCTTGTGTGGTGCCGTTTGGTTAGCTTACATACACGTTGTTAATGTTGAAACGCATGTGGAAACATGAACTGTGTGTGGAATGCTTGACCACAATGGCACATCATTTTGGCTCAAGCATTGTTCTGGGTTCCTGGAACCCAAGCTGATTGAAAACCCACCCACCCACACCAAGGTAAGAGGTCATGGCTGCGACGCCCGCCAAACCACCGGAGGAGGTCCCAGCCGCGATCAAGGAAGACGTGGCAAAGTTGCAGAAGCCACTGGCGGCCATCCTGGTGGGCAAGGAAATCCCCTGGGTCATCCAAGCGGCACTGGGCGCATCGGGCTACGTCACGGTGGAAGACCTGGCGGATCGCTGGAACACCCCGGCTGCGGCCAGGGACAATGGTCCTCGGGACCTGGGATTCCAGGATGGAGAGAATGGATTCAACGCCCAGACCTCGGCCTTCACGGCAATGCGCCTCCTTCAGGCAGTACGGGTGGCAGCAAACTTGGTCAGGGGGGGCAACCAGGGTGACCACCCAGCGGGCCATGCGGGCCCGACAAAGGCTCCCTTACAAGTCCTGTGTGACAGGCGCCAGCTGGAAGATGCTTACGTGGCCACGCATGGGGCCCCGAAGCCGAGGTTGGAATTCCAGGGTAGTGATGGCTACCTCAAGAAGCAATGGCGCATGATTGCCAAGGGCGAATTGGGATACATCCCGGCAAAACACATCGTGAGCGCGCTCCCGGAAGAAGGGGAACGCCCTTCATCCACCCACAAGAAGATCACGGTGGACGGCTGGGACCGGGAGGATGAAGAAGAGGTGAGGAGCCACCCTACATCTCGGCGCCAGCTGGAACGATTGCACCTAACCTTCAGGACGACGCTCCTGATGTGCACGGCAGCACTGCCGCAATTTGGCAACCTGAGGGTCACCAAGGAGGAGTTGGATGACTGGTATGCCTGGTTCTACGGGGAGGACATAGCCGGCAGGAAACCTCCCCCGAGCGACACCACCTTGCTGTTTGCAGAGCGCAATGCATGGCGCAAGATTCACGAAATGGTGCACCAGGGCACCACTCTCTCCGAAGCCCTCAAGAACATCAGGGGCGACTTCCTCTTCTGGCAACGGGAGCTATGAGCACCTCAACACACCGCCGACGAAGGGGAAGAGCAAGAGCAAGGCACCCAAGGTGTGGCAGACTCAGTGGGAGAAGCCCAAGAAGGGGGGAAAAGGATCTTGGTCCTCGGGGCCTACCCATTCCAAGCCGAAGGGCAAGGGCGGCAAAGGGAAGTCCCCCCCTCGACCCCATGGCCAGACCACTGGGCTTTCAAGAATCCCAAAGGGGTGGCGTACTGCAGGGATCATCACCTTCACAACAAATGCCCTGGATCATGCGGCCGATCCCACAACTGCCCGGTCAGGAAGGATGGGTGGGTGTGTGATGCCCCCCCAGCGAAGCATGTGCCACAGGCATGCCCACACTTCCCCAAGTGACAGGAGGCCACTCAGGGTGCCATGGGCCCCATGGCTGTCTGGTCTCCGAAGGGATCACAGGCCACCAGTGCGAGAGCGCACACAGCGGGGGAGAGCCAGCGGAAGGCAGACAGAGTTGGGGAGGCCAGGACGGCCGCAGGTGGGAGGGGACTTCTCCAGGGTGCCACCGGCCCCGGAAGCCCTTTCACCGAAGAAAGGGAGTGGATCCAGCCAGGGCACTCCAGAAGGGCGGAAGCACCCTTTTCCCCCGCACCCCCCGAGGCAGTGGGAAGAACCCCCAGAGAGACCAAGAGGTGGGGATCCGCCCGGCAAGGGGCGTTCCGGTGAGGGGCAGGGCAGAGCGTGGGGCTTGGAGGACCTGGAGCCCCGGGTAAGGGAGGACACCGACAGCGTGCTCATGCTCCGACAGATGTACCTGACCTCGCTGGCCTACCAAGGACTAGGTCAACGAACGGTCCCGCAGGTGGGCTCCTCCTTCCTGGAGCACCCGATGGACCCAATGGAGTGCAGCAACAGCCCGAGCGCAGCGAGGTGCTCATCGATCTGGGTCACACGGGCCTACATTCAATGGGCGAACGCACTCCACCACTCCCTCATCAAGTTTGACGAGTGCCGCCTGGGCCAGGTGGTAGTGAAGTCCACGACATTGTCAACGGACCTTCCCCTTCACCATTGGCATGATCTGCGATGAACCACGGAGCTCACCCCAGAGGGGAAAAGCTCAACTCCAGTGACCTCAGCCGGTACCCAGAGCAGATGATGCAGGGTCTCGCAGCGGCCATCCTCTGCAGGTCCTGGAGGCGCTGAGGCCGGGGGGCACGGTGCCCCAAGTGAACCCAACGACCCCCCCGAGGCGGCAGAGGGAACCATCTCTTCGCACGCCGGGGGACAACAAGCGCCAGTCCCTGAGGCTGAAGGCCGGCCAACAAGCGTTGGCGGGACTAACCTTGGGCTCACGTCCGGTCTCGGCCTCAGACAATCCTGAGGTCCGGACACCAACACAGCCGGCGGGCAGGGAGGTCGAACTACGCAGGAGGCTGGCCCCGTGGACTCGGCCATTGTCCAAAGCAGCAGCGATGGGGGCCAAGATCTGTGTCCTCATGTTGCCATGGGGGGACAAACTCCAGGAGTCGCTCTCGTTGGGGGACGGGTCACACCCCTTCCCGGAGGACCTGCTGGAAGATATCAGGGAGATCCTGGCGCCAGGGGCAGGCCGACCAGCGGAAGGCCAACCCTTCTTCCTGGACATCTTGCACAGCCTGGCGCTGCCACCCCTAGCCTCGCCGGAGTTCCAGGAACTCCCTCATCCCACGGCCGGGGTAACTACCCCTCAGCGGATCACTTCAGTGAGCTCATCCGTAGCACATTCCTGGAGGAGGTCCCCATGGGCATGGTAGATGGCCCTCTCACCAAGGAGGCAGCAGCGAGCTGTGGCTGCAATATGGAGGATCTTTGCCCAGGCCCCCCAGCGGGCATTGACGAAGGGGACAAGATCCGCACCATCTACGATGGCTCGGTGGGCGGGGCCAATGACACCATCAGGAACCAGACGGTGGAAAGGACGACGGCTCCGACGGTGCTGGATGGGGTACAAGCTCTTCATTGGCTACATGCGGCAGCTGAGGAGGGACCTCCCTCTCAGGGTGCCCCCGGTTTCGAGAAGGAGGTCGCCAAATCTCCACCCGTGGGCTGGCTATGGCCGGAGCCGGGCACCAGGTGGGTGCTGCTCAAGGCGGACGTCACCAAGGCCCACCGGAGAGTGAAGGTCCTCAGAAAGGACTGGCGGTTCCAGGTGGCTTTATTGGGGGAAGAATGGTGGGTGAACAGGTAGGCACATACGGCATGGCCAGTGCCCAATCCTACTGGGGACGCCTGGCAGCCCTTCTACTCAGGGTCCTCTACGCACTTTTCCCTCAAGTGGATTGGAACTTCGTCTTTGTGGATGACTTCCTGTGGCTGCTTCGCAGCGAGGGGGCAGTAAACTTGGCGGTGGCGCTGTTGGCAACACTCCTGGCCTTGGGCACCCCGCTTAGGCTGGGCTTCGTGGTCCACCCGAACATCCCGCAGGTTCTCATGGCCGCCAACAAACACATCCTGGTGATGGAGGTCTTGCAGATCATGGTGGAAGGGCAGGCGATGCACTCAAAGGACATCGAGAAGGCCCTGGGCCGCATCCAATGGGCAACTGCTGCATGTCCGCTGGCGAGTCGATGCTTCAGCCACTGTGGGCCTGGAAAATGGCCACCACCACGGTGGGGAAACCCCCTAAGGTGGTCAGGATGCTGGCGTTCATGCTGCGGTTCCTCTTCAACACGCCCTTCGTCCAGTACTCCCCTTACTTGCCGAAGTCCTCTTGGTGGGGTTGCAGCGATGCTAGCGCCTCGGACGAAGGACTGGCATTTGTGGGAGGATGGTGCTCCAACAAAACGGAGCCGGAAAAGAAGGAGGTGTACTGGTTCCACGAGCAGATCCACGTGGAGGAGTACCCTTGGGCATTCAAGAATGGGGATCCCAAGCGGAGGATTGCGGCTCTGGAAATGCTGGGCACGCTCTTCCTCTGTAACATGATCCTCACGCACCAAGGCCCTCTGTCCTCCCGGGTCCGACTCCCGGTGGGCAGTGACAATCAGGGCAACGTCATGGCGATGCTCAAGCTTGGATCCAAGAAGCCCTACACCGCGGCTATCCTGATGGAGCTGGTCTTCCTGCTCCACACCCATGGCTGCTCGCTGGCGGCCAACCACGTGCCCCGGGAATTCAACCAGTGGGCCGATGAGCTGACGCACCCAGATTTCTCTGGGTTCGACCCTTTGCACAGAGTCCCTAAACAGGAACTCTGCGAGGAGTTCATTTTTCTCCCGCGTCTCCTCAATGGAGATGCATTTGATCTTAGCGTGGGCCCACCCATGCTCCCGTGACCGGAGCCGGTGGGTGACTCACTTCCCCTGGTGGCAGACCCCCCTGTGGCCTGGGTGCCCCGGGCCCCGGCCCAGGGGCGGGCGCTATCAGTCTGCACACCCGTTCTTCAGTTTTTGAGAGTTTGTGGTGGGTGGCCCATGGCCCACCCAGCCGTAGACATCTGACAGGGGAAGATGAGTCCCTGGCACCAACACATTGCTTGGATAAAAGAGTTATCGCTTGCTTGTGTGGTGCCGTTTGGTTAGCTTACATACACTTGTTGTTGTCCGCAAGGTTTTCTCCGCTCTTGTCCTCGCAGTTCTGTTGCTGGATCTGTCAGACGGGTTCCATTGTCTTTTTCTAAATCCCGAAACGGAACGGACGGACCTTTTGACCTGCCGGTTTCTCGCTCAAGCGCTTGTTGCCCACGAAGTTTCTGCCACTCAACCTGTGCTTCTCGCGAAAAATTCTGCTGCGCCAGCTTGTGTTTACCAGCTCTGAGGGATGCACATGGGAAGGGGAGTTGAGACGCCTGGAGTCGCCCTACATCATTGATTCATATTCAGATCTTGAGTTATTGAGTTCGCAACTGGCCCACTCCGACACAACGGTGGTGTATTCAGAGGTCGACATTTCACTGCAGGTGAACTCAATTCGGATCGGCGACACCTCCGGCTTCCCGCCGCATATCTCGGGGGGCCTGGTCACTGAGAAGAAGGCACAGGGGTTGACATAGTATTGGCAGTCTAAGGTTAGTTTGGGGAGAACGAGAAAGGGACGAATTTGAAAACTGGGGATAAGTCAACTCCATTTTCCCCTGTCCTTTGGGAG